TTGTTGTATATAATTCACCAGTTGTAAGGTCATCAAAAGCATGTTAATGTTAGGATTTCATATTTATTTAATATAAACTGGGAATTATTAATGTTATGTGCATACATGTATATCTTAGACAGTAGTATATTGATATATTGAGACTTATATTTTCTGCATTTAAAGAGATACAGTTATGTCATTATTATTAAAGGGATGAGACTTTAATTTAAAGTTATAAATGATAAAACATGTATTGATTGAAAATGTCCTTAAACTTGGATCAAGCAATGTAATTAATAAAGTCTCAAAAAATCATATTCTGAATAGTTATTCTATTTTTTTTTCTAACATGTGCAAGGTTTGAAAAAAACAGCTTCGGTCTTATCTATTTGTAATGAAGAGACACCGGTCTCAACCTCCAGGTCTCCTGCGTCAACCCGACAACAGACTGTACATAGAGTAGATTGTTACTTGCCCTTGAATAAATTTGTGCACTAAATTTATAGTGGGTGATTTGTGCCACATGAAAACCAACATAGTATAAAAAGTAACTGGGCGCCAGATGAAAACATGAAAATACAATCTACCACAAAGTGGTTCGTTTGTTGCATTTTCATGTTTTTGCCCGGTGCCCTTGATGCAAAATACAAATCAGCCTTCGTAAAATTTCTTATGTTGGTCACAGGTTTGAGTTCTGGTCAAGCTCAAAGTTTTTCTCATCCTGTGACTGCATATAAGCATGAGTTCAATTTCCTATGCTCTGTAACATAAGAAATTCACGAACACAAATCGATATAGTGGGGAAATATGTTGTGGTTTAGAACTGTTTCATTATTAAAGAGAAAATGTGTAGCAGGCCGGATAGCTCAGTTGGTCTTCTGAAAGTCATGGGTTCGAGTCATGGTCAGGCAGTTTCAGTCAGGGTTTAGAAGTGGTTTTTCAACTGACACATGTTTGATTCATTTAACAGATTGCATTATTTGAAATGGACAAAGGCAGTATTGCATGATACTTTTAGATCTACAAAGGGCATTTGATACAGTTGAACACACTATACTGCACATCTGGGATGAAGAAGTTGTTTTTCTTCTTCTTCATGAAACTTCAAGCATCTGCCATATATAATGACATTCTTACATGGTTTAAGTCTTATCTCTGATAGTAGCTGGTTGATGTGGCTGGTACTCATTCTACTACTGCTCTGGGAGTACCTATGCTGTCCCCCTGATGTTCATTTTAGGTCCTCTTTTATGTCTAATATATGTCAATTACATGTCTTCAACCCTAAGCAATAAGCTTTTATTATAATGCACAGGCACGAGTATCAGACCTTGGAAGAAAAAAATATGGCCAGATTGATAAAAAAAACCTGTGTTCATCTTAAAAGTGTCAACAACCAAAATAAAATGTAAATAATGACCCCCTTTAAAAATATACTTCAAGTTGATAGTATATTTTTAAAGGGGATCATTATTTACATTTTTTGTTTTGGTTTTTATAAACACAGTTTTTTTATCAATCTGGTCATCTGGTCATATTTTTTCTTCCCAGGTCCGATACTCGTGCCAGTGATTATATGCTGATGACTCAGGAATCCTTGTGTCTCATAAATAAATCTGAAGAAATTCTTTCTTATAGCATAAGTCTTATAAGATTGCTTAATTGACTATAACTTGTCTTTGCATCTTGGCAAGACAGAGTCTATTCTTCTTTGGTTTAAGTTTCAACTTAAACTGGCCCTAGCCTCCAGGTCACATGTAATGATACTGCTATAAAGTACACATCTTTTGTTAAGTATTTAGGTGCAAATCTGGATCAAATTCTTTTGGCGTCGCCCTTTGATGCTTTGCATCAATGATTTTCTTGTCTTTATATATAATAAATTTCATGGTAAATAGATGATCAGGCTATTTCTTATATAATTAAAATATACGATTTTTTTCAACGGGGTTCTATGAATAAATATTAGTAATACATGTAGTTACACCGTTATGTAAGTTGGGTTTTGTTGTTGTTGTTTTTTATGATGGTTGATTTTAAATGTTCTTAGAATTTCATCCATGTTTGGAAGAATTTTCTTTCCGTGTATTCTTAATTAGCATAATCCGTTATAAGACCGCATGTAAGCACGCGGTCTAGAATGGAAGCGCAAGTCGTATTCTTGGTACTGGTATACAAAATCCAAATTGTAATGTAAAAATAACTGGGAAAAAATGATAAAAACGGTCTTATACTTAAGATGAACTATACTCCCACTGAAAGTAATATTTTGGGAAAGAAAGATGCAGAAGTTGACTTTGATTCGATATGCACCAATAATATAATCTTCGTATATATCCTATAATGCAGAATTGTTAAAATAATGCAGGATTGTGCAAATTCAGACATAGCTGTGGAAATAAATACCGAAAACTAGTATCTTATGAAGCAATATAGTTCGGCAAATATGTTAGGTATACCGAAAAGCAAACTTTAAAGAAAGGCTTAATGTGCGTTGTTATACTCATTAATATCGGCGAAACACAAAACTTCAACGCCAGAACAGTAGCCAGTTCGTTTTTCTCGCAAATAATCTGGAATATAAGTTATGAGGGTACTTACAGCCGTATGCGCTAATTTATTTCGATTAATCTTTAAAATATATATCGACCCTTTTCCTATTCAAAGTGGTCATTATCCCCCCCCCACTCCCCCACAATATAGCGATATTTTACGGTGACTATTGTATACTGTAATGCACGAGTTTCTCGACTTCACATATTTTCTATTGTATAGAGAACAATAGAACAATAACCGGTCGGTATCTATTTGCAGACCTGTTAACAGGTCGGTAAGTGATTTACTAGACCGCTTTTAACAAAGGAGCCGGTAGGTAAGTCCTTATAACTTTTTCGTTTATCAATATATTTTTACAAAATTTTGTGTTCTGACTATTTGCTGCATTTCCACACATTTCATGTGCTCAAGCATGTCAATTTTAATTATGAGGTGCGTTCAACCATGAACGACCGAAATTCACACAATGCACGAAAAAATTATGAGAATGGGTGAAATAAGATTGCACATGATATTCTCGGATACGAAAGAGATCCACATATCAGAAAAACACCACATGGGTAGATTATCTATAGAACAGCGTGCCATGGTATAGCCCTAGGATTGGTCAACGCTGGTGTACACCAAACAGAGATTGGTAACAAAATTTATTTGTTTAATTTTATATTCCTTTGCATTGTAAAAGCCCAAAATCGTTTAAATTCAGTTTCTATCAATGACGAACATAAAATGAATATTTTTATTTAGTAATTACTTGTATGTATCATTTGTAGGTTGCGCCTGGCATGGGTGTACACCAAACTACCTAAGAAGGCTAATCATTAAGAACAGAACAATTTCTTTGGTAACCTTCCTCACCAACCCCAAAATTATCTACAACGGTATGTAAGATCGATGTGACGACACTACCGGGCTGTAATTATAGTCAGGGTGGGCACACACAGTATATGGACATCCTTTTGCAACATCGACTTTCGACACGCATTCACATGTTTTAGAAATTAAATCTTAAATTTGTATCTTGAATAAAAAATACTTAATAACAATGATAACATGTCTCCTTTATGTATTTGTTGAAAATTTCAGCATGATCGGGCAAATATTGATACACCTATGAAACCATTTATACATGCACACTTACAAGATTTGTTAAGTGTAGATTGATTTGATGTCCCAACACCTTTTTTTTTAAAACATTTACTTGACAAAATAGTAGTGTGTTGATGATGAACGTGTTTGCATCTTGTATTGGGGTGATATTGTACTTCTTTCAAAGTGACTTACAAGGATTGATGTCTACAAAATTATATCATTAAAATGTAGTTCTTATTATTCGCTATGAAGCGCCCATTTGGAATATACATGTATACAAAATCTTGTTCATCTTTATATGCAGTTTATCACAGAGCTTTGAGATTTTTATTGTGTATCGGAATAATGCTGGTGGGCATGGTGATATTGTTTAACACCCGAAAGTTGTTTGTAATAATTAGAGCCCACGACTATAGGACTGATAAGAGTAAAAATTTGTTAAAGTAAAGATGGTCGGAATTGTTACAAGAAGAAATAGTGATCCTAGATCACTTACCTATTCCTAGATCACCATTCTTGCAGAAGAAAAAAATGAGGTCATGCATGAATTTTAAAACATTAAAAGAGCTCTGCTAGGAAAAGCTACATACCAAATATCTAAGCTTTGGCCACAAAATTCAAATGTGCTTTTATCCAAACTTTCAAGCCATTTAAATTATAAAACTGCCAACAGGGACCTGGCCGATTTTGATCAAAGCATGATTTATGAAACTTTAGTAGATAACCACAATGTGCTAAAACCGATTGAAATATACTCTGAGCACTGTAGCTTTTGATCAGAAGATTTTTAAGCAATAAACTAAATTACCCAAAGGCGGGGCATTTCTTAACATCAGGGGTATGTTTTATGTAACGTTTGTAGTACATGTAATATACCGGACCATGCTACATGTTAAATATTTTAGTTCTTGGCATTGTAGGTTTAAAAATAATAAAAGCTAGTGGGTGTGTGTAGATGTAGGGTTGTGAATTACATTCTTGTTATTCTTAAAGGATGTCGATACATGACATCTTGATAAACATAAAAATTGTATAGATGGGACTTTACATAAGACTATGACTCTATTTTCTCCAACCTAACAGAAATCTGATCTAATACGAATTTTCGTAATAACATTTGTCCAAATAAAAGGAAATATCAGTCAACAGTTTTTACACCAGATCGATGCTCCATTTTTACACAATTTATATTGTCATTTAAATAAGTTTAATATTTTAGCACAAAAAGTGTTACGCTTGAAATTCCGGTATTTTTCTTTTTTTTAAGAGCTAACTGTTGCTCCATGCTAACATCGTCTAACAGCTGCAAAGTAATACAAGATATACTGATAAATATTATATAATTGACCTCTTATATTACAAATACATTAGAACTTTGACACAGATATGGAGTTCTAATTGTTGTCCTTTATTTCGTAAGGTGTCACCAATGTTATGAATAAATATTCTATATTAATGTACGATAAAGTTAAAGCCTTGTTTGAAGACACACTATAATAACGGTAAGTAAAATTATATATATAATGACTGCTCTATTCATGTCTGGTATCTATGACAATAATTTATTTTAGTAACAACATAATTTTATAAGTAAAAATCCGGACACAATATCTGTAACATTACATGATGAAAAATGATATGATGCTTTATCCAGTTAAAAGTAAAATGTCGGTCTCTGTAAGGAACAAAATTTTCACGAGAATCCAAGTGTAAACACGTTTCAGAAATTCAGTACTTATTGGAAGTTAAGGAGAGAAAAGAGGTGTTTTATTGTGGTGTTATATGTGATTATTCTCATTACCAGGTACAAAATGTAATGTGTTATTTATTGCTAATATTTTATAAATAATGATTGTTAATTGATTTATCCAGACATCATAACAAATAATACATGTATTCATCAGTTAATAATTATGTTAACTTTATTAATGACATTATCGTCAAGATAATCTTAAAGCAAAATTTTAAAATTTCATCCTTGACATATATCATGATATATCCCCTGTCCTTGTACCACTCTAACACCTCACTTTAACGTCTTTATAAGATTTTTATTCATGTGTATGAAAACCGGGAAAATGTACAAAGCACTCAAACTCAAGTATTTTAAAATCAACGAAAGCGATTTAACGCACTATGTAACAATGTCACATTTATATATTTTTCTTATATAATTAAGTATCAGTAAAATGCGTAAGAAAACTGAAGGCATAATTGTTTTATATATATGTTTTCATGAATTGTTTTGAACACATTTTCATACCCAAAAATATAGACAAATCATAAAAGTTATGACACTAATTCCGTATTAATATTAGTATTATATGTATTAATGTTCAATGTTACTGTTACATGTTGACAGGGACTCCTTTAAAACATGAAATTTCTTCTGCTGGTTGGTTTCTGCTGCATGGCAACTGGTTTCCCTAATGGAGCACCTGACATTGCATGTAAAGAAATGGTGCCAGGGCATCTTCCAACTGTAACTTCCGGTGACAATCCTTTTAAACTTAACATTTCCGTAACGTCGTATAAACCAGGCGATGTTATAACAGGTAATTATTATCTTTTAGGAATAATTCTATTACATTCATTTATACATTCTCTTGATAAGTAGTATAAATCAAAGGGCTGCAACCTCTGTGGTATTTTCTGATCTTTGCAATCTAAATCATACTGACTATCTGTATGTATTTTCCTGTATAAGTTTATTTTTATATACTATAATTAATCTTACGCAGCGACTGCGTCTATAACAGTTTGAGATTTATACATATGGAATTTTGCATGACTAGAGTTGCATCAAAAAATCATTTTTCATTTTTTATGACAGCCACACTTTATCCTTGCATATCGTGGCTACTTCCTTAAAAAGGACACTTCAAAAAAAAAACAAAAAAAAAAAAACAGTTGCCTCGACTAGGATTTGAACCTTAGGTCTCTCACACCCTAAACGAGCGCGCTACCTCTGCACCACGGTGAAGTAATACATATGTAGCATGAATAAAAACAAATACATTGTAATTCTAATTTGAGAATTTCCATTTCGTGTTTGTAATCCTTACTAATTTCGAGGTATTTTGTTCACGATAAACCTGTTGTTTAATACTGATGAAAATAATTTAGCGAAAATCTTCTCGACAAAACAGTACGACATGTTTATATTCCACTACTCGACAGTCAGATTTATTTGTGTACTACGCTCTGGAGTATTCGGTTATCGACATAGCTAAAAATAGCATTTTCATTGATTAAGCTTTACGGAAATAGCCGAACATTTTTCATTGGGTAAAAAAGATATTCATCCGCGAAATTTGTGATTGTAACCCCATATTTCTATTGACTACTCTAAACTTTTAATGCACTGTAATTCGTTAACTGCCTACATTAAAAATTATTCTTTCTTTTAAATTGCTGGTTTTTAAGCAGTTCTGAATGAGAACTACTTTGCGTTGTTCGGTCTGTTAGGAAATGTTGTGTTAGACCGTGGATGTTAGCTATGTATTTACTGATCTTGCGATCAGAAAATACAAAAATTGTTTGTACTTTATTTTTAACAAATCCTTTATGCTCTTAATATATTTTCTTTTGTATGAATATCAAAACAGACCGTAGACATCTCGTAATAAACTTGGCACCTGTTTTCAGCGTGTAACTTGAATTCCTTATAATGATGAATTATTAAACATTCTAACACTCCTCGTGATTTTGTCACTTTAGACAAAGAAGAAGAAAAAACCGGTGAAATGCCAATAAACACTCGTTAGGGACTACTTGTATATGCGGCTGTTATGTTTTCTGCCTCGATTATATAGTTAACAAAGCCTTTTAAAGCATAAATAAAAATGCGTTTTTATTTATATTTTCAGTTCTTATAATGTTTTCTTTTCATGCAATACTGAAATAATATCTCACATACACTAACGCCACAGATTTGATCCAAATCAGTTAATAAATATTTTAACAGAACGGCGCGCCAATCCGTAAGCAGCGTAATTTCTATCACTCTCCACACAGTGATCTCCCCTTAATTCTTCGGCGTAGATTTTTGCCGGATTTAAGGGGGCAGGGGACCTAAAAATGAAAAATTTTGTATTTCAGTGTGACCAGAAACTCAATTCCAAATATTTCAAAATCTGTTTCACAGGCAGATAACCAGTTGCACAGCATTATTCAATGATATATGACATACATTGAAGAAAATAATAGTTTGCATGCATTGCTCCTTCAAAAAATGACTGACAGCAATTTATATTTACCCCCACCCAGCCAAAATCACACCTAAAATATACCAATATGGGCAATCTTCATGAAGGTGCAGCATACTCCAGAATCCGCCCGAACCCTTTAAAAATATCAGTAACACGCAGTGCAAGCTATGGCATTTTCAGAAATGACAAATAAAGTGTCTGTCATACGTTTAGATTTTTCACAAAATTTATCTGAAATTTCTTACTTGTTTGGCGCCAACTGTCAAAGCTTGATTTTTAACTTTTTCACCTCCATTCGGAGAGTCAGAAATGCATACAAAGCTACCAAAATGCTTAGTTTCGGGTAAAAACCCAAAAATATATCTCATTTCCTACACACAAACAAGAAAGAATTACAATGACAGAGAAATATCAGAAGTTATTAGTACCTTCAAAACACCATGTCTGAGTTATTAAAAAATTTGACCGGGAACATCATTCGAATATGTCCCCTGCCCCCTTAGCCCAATACAGGATTGGAGCAGTACCTCTAGACGCTTGCAGAAATCATGATCACAAAATAGACAAATATCGTTTTTTTCGTCGATTTTTACATTTTTCCTTCATTATCGTACTTAATTCGGTGTGAAAAGATGAATTAGACATGTTTAAGTTCATTCCGTTGGGTAAAAAGGCAAGATTTTAGCATTTTATCATTCAAGCGCCTTGTCCGGTATATACCGGAATACGGTATTTAGTGTGGTGCTCCAATCCTTTTTTTAGTCTCCCTCATTTTGCCACCAAGATCCCGATATATCAGAATTTCTGATATACTATAATTTTTATCTACTGCTTTTATCTATCAGATAAGTTTTCTCACATTTATTTAACAATGTTTATGAATAAATAAATAAATAATATGAATATTTAGAAATCAGTGTAGCAATACCACGTGACATTGACGTCATTTTCGGCATCATTTCCAAGACAAATGTTGCTCGAGTCGGAAAAAAAAATAGCCGTAAATATTTTATTTCTGTACCAATTTCTTTGGGATATGCACCAGTCTACGGGGAAAAATATAAGCTTTCCACAGAATATTGGATCTTCGTCAGTTTATAAGCCGTTTTATCAACCACTTTGCATAACCTTGGAAGTTGCTTGTATTCTAGCGGGCTTCAGTTGCAAGCTATTTCGTTTTCTGGCGTTATCTGGTCTACGACATGATTAAAAAGTCAGGTTTACATCAACCGGGGGTACAGACAGCAAAATCCTACCTTAATATGTTTATATGTTTATTATTTATGGCGTAAATCTTGCATTTTTCTTCAATTGTCAATTCTGGCACCAGTTCCAAGTCGAAAAAAAGGACTACAGTTTAAAGCAGATTTTAGAATCCGTTGCAAATGCAAAGCAACATGCCTACCGTTTACTTTCTATAATTATGTTACCCATGAAAAACATCTTATTTACTATACGATTTACATAAACACAAATGAATATTTAAATGATTTTTACTCGCTGCGCTATAAGTGATTTTAAAAGTCGTAAATTGTTGTCTGTATTTGTAAAGAAATTGATTTGCTCTTTAATAATCATTATTCTTTCACGGTAATGATTATGAAAAATATATTAGTGTCATGTAGCAATACTAAACGTGGAACATTCAAAATAAAAAGAAAACAGAAACCCTAAATATCGCCCAAAACGGCAAAATTGAAAATGTTGCAGGCTCGGTTTGACTTAGCTAGCCTGTCCAATTAACGTGCACATTCAGGATCACTTCCATTTGTATGCTGTGAAAAGGGTTACGCCTCAACGCGGCAATTTTAAAGTCAAAGGTTATTCTTTTGTAAAGAGTTATTTATACGTATAACCATATATATACTTGGAAAAGAATCTGTAGCAATGTTTTAGTATGATAGATTCAGCTTTTTAACACAGTGGCACTCGTTGATAAAAAATATTTTTACATCCTGTTTTCATACCCACGGTAACCATTTTTCGTGAACTGGATATAACTTCGTTCACTTAAGAACACTAAACACTATATATTTTATTAGTGCATTTATTTCTGTTGATAAACTGCATATCTGACAAATTTAGTTAATAATATCAGTCAACCCAGCTTTATCAGAGAGCTCACCAATACACATTGTAAAGAGAGGAAGGGAACGGAATATTTATGGTTTGAAAACATTTAAATCGAATAGGCCTAGAATTTTTTTAACAATAATGTCTGTTTCAACTGAATAAAAACGATAGGGTTATTTGGGACTATTTCTTATCGATGTGGTCATTGGCTGTAAATGCATGGATTATTGCACGCGGCATGACCTGCAGATGTCCTCAACAGGATTTTTTGTAGCATTTTAAGATTTAAAAAAGGACCACATATTAAAATCTAAAAACATGATAAACATGATACATATGCCAAATAAGTGAATTATCTGATATGTAAATAAAGAAGTCATTTGACAGTTGAAGGATAAAAATTGAATATACTCTTCAAATGTAATCGTAATTTTACTAAGCTTATGTTAGCTACCAATTATTCAATGGACTCATCAGTGGCATATGGACCCCAGTCATAGATCTTGCCGATGTTGCTATTACAGATGTTAATGTAAATATTTATATAATTATTGATAATCATTGTTATTTCCGTCTTTTTGAATGTTTTGTTTCAAGAAATTTGACTGTGATCGATGGCTGTTGGTTTGTAAAATTATTTATCTGTTTACTATTTTCTACTTTGTTTACTCCACATGGCGTCCATTCTCGTTCTTTATTGGCGACTCATGGCTTTTTGATAAATAGAGAATCATAAGTAATGCAACTAAGTAACAATACTATCAGGTTTACACGGCAAAGTTCCAAGTTATATGTAATGATATTTAAAATTGTTCTACACAAAAAACAAAATCTGACTGATGATGAAAATGCTTATAGTTTAATAAGCATAAAATGTCAACGTCATGTTAATGCGCGTGACAATTAGATTCATGATTTTAATACCGATACATGTGCATAGTACTTTAAATTGTGATTTCGTTAATCAAACTCTATAGAAATTTATTATACGGCAATTCCAGAAAAAATATATACCTTTTAAAAGTCTCTCTTTTGAGGACAGAAGAACCTATTCGTCACATTCACGAGTGTCAGTGTTTGTCAGTTACTCTTTACAAAAAATAGACTGAAAAAAATACCTTAAGCTTTACAACACTCGCGTTAAAGTGTAACCCTTTCCGTAGCATACAAAAGTTGTTTTTTTATTTTAACCCTTTCTCTCACTGAGAGCACATATATTTCTTATCAATTTCGCCATTGTGAAATAGAATAAAACACATTTTACTACATAGGATAAGATGAGCATCTTTAAACATCTTCAAAACGAAACCAAAATATCATTTTTCGACAGGACTAAATCTACGTGATTTGACGTGCACTATTGCGATACAAGTAAGTGTTATTGCTTTAAGGAACAATCAGTTTTTTTTTCACAATCTCTCTGTAAAAGATCAACAATGAAAAACGAAATTGTAGAAAGAAAACAGTAGGCATGTTGCTTCGCATTTGCAACGGATTCTAAATCTGCTTTGAACTGTAGTCCTTTTTTTCGACTTGGAACTGGTGCCAGAATTGACAATTGAAGAAAAATGTAAGATTTATGTCATTCATAATTAAAATATGAACATATTTAGGTAGAGTTTTGCCTTCCGTACTCCCGGTTGATGTAAACCTGACTTTTTAATCATGTCGTAGACCAGATAACGCCAAAAAACGAAATAGCTTGCAACTGAAGCCCGCTAGAATACAAGCAACTTCCAAGGTTATGCAAAGTGGTTGATAAAACGGCTTATAAACTGACGAAGATCCAATATTCTGTGGAAAGCTTATATTTTTCCCCGTAGACTGGTGCATATCCCAAAGAAATTGGTACAGAAATAAAATATTTACGGCTATTTTCTTTTTCGAATCGAGCAATATTTGTCTTGGAAATAATGCCGAAAATGACGTCATAGTCACGTGGTATTGCTACACTGGAAATAATGTTAAAAATTATGAGATTATTTTCTACCGAGACGATATTTTGATATTTTATATTTTTTAGCTTTTGAATTTATTTTTCGTTATTTTGTATACTTTCGATAATTTTTTGATAAACTATATCGAACGTAGGCACTAAGTTAAAAATAAAACAGAAAGAGAAAAATAACGTTAGATTTTCTTTGTAACGGTCGATATTTACATTTGAATTTCGACGTTACGTCATGTGACTCATCATCATGTGACGTCTTTGAAGGCAGTGATTACAATTCTGCCAAGGGAGGTTATCACTGTGAGGAGTTTGAATTTCTACATCTTAGCAACAGTAGGGTGCGAAATCGAACAGCGTTATACGAAAATCGGCACCGGAAGTTATCTCCGCTCGAAAAAATAACATTAGTGATCTTTCTTATTTTATCTTGTTAGAATCGAAATAACATCGGTCTGAGCGGTGTTTATCGGCTATTTAACACCGACATTATTTCTTAGATAAGGTTTTAAACACCAATATTGCAAAATATAATAACTATTATTCTGTGGCATTTAAGGAGAACTCTACTCAGCCGAGAACATCAAATTCAGAGGGTTCTTGATAGAAGTTGGAACAGCACAAGATGTCTCAGAAAAAGAGGAAGGTGTGGGTGAATTCATAAATCTCGATACGGGTATACAAAAACATGTCTGCGGAAAGGTGCATTTTCTTATTTTATATGTCCATATAAATTATATACATGGAGTATGTTAAAATGATACATCTATACTTCAATATTTACAGCAATAGGCTCTTTACTGTTTTCAGAAATTGACTATTCTATATGATATTTTGCATAGTGAATGCCCCATAAAACAAATCAAAATTCTTA